AAATCAACTCTTGTAACATTATAAAACTTAACAAATTTAGATTTGAGATGTTTACATTTACTAAAAGTTTAATAACATATTCTGTCATAATCAGGGTTATAAACCTGTTTTTAATTGATTAAACTTTTAATCATTTCTTTTATGTACTTACAATAACTCTGTGATTTGAGGATGTCAAAGTTACATGAGATTTCAGCTTTTAAATGCAATGTAAATAGTTACCTAGATTTCCCATTCCACGGACATCAGCTAAGCGTTCCTGAATGCTTTGTGCCAGAATTATGGAACACGCAGTATGGAGGAAGATAACCAGATGAACAAATAATTGTAACAAATAAGACTTCATGTGCTCTAAAGAGATATATAAAAAAAGATTTTTAGGAAACATAGAAGAGGAAATAATTTCTTTGATGCTGGTGCGGGGAATAGGATTGATGCTGAGAAGAAGTTTATAATTTGTCTCAGTGTGGATTCTCAGTAAAGGCTTTTAAGTTTTGAATTAACAGTTGAAACTGTCACAAGAACAGCAATAATAATATCACCTCACATATTTAAGAATATTTCTGTATCGAGACATTATTTTTTATGTAGATATATTTTAAGAACATCATAAAAGATATTAAAAAGGGTTATAAAAATTTTATGTTGTCTATAATTGCTAAATGACCTAATATATTTAAGACAATTTGCAATTGTTTGATTAAAAACAAAGATAAGGTAAAGATAGCAATAATGGCACATAAGCATAGCAGGTATACTGACAGAGAACACAACCATGCATGCAGCAAGAACATATTTACCAAGAAGCTGTAAGGGTAAAACATAAATTTGTCTAATGAGTTGTTTTTTGTTTGGTTGGTTTTTTTTTTTTTGTGAGAAAGATTTGCCCTGAGCTAACATCTGTTGCCAATCCTCCTCTTTTTTCTCTCGAGGAAGATTAGCCCTGAGGTAACATCTGTACCAATCTTCTTCTATTTTCTTGTATATGGGATGCCTCCAGAGAATGGCTGATGAGTGGAGTAAGTCCACGCCTGGGATCTGAACCCACAAACCTGGGCCACCCAAGTGGAGTGTGCAGAACTTTAACCACTTGGCCATGGGGCCAACCCCTCTAAGTAGGTCTTTTTAGCTATTGTAGAGGGGGAAATGTGATCAACTAATCAGTCACAAAGTTTATTTTAAAAAAATCAATTGTTCAAGAGAATCTCAATAATTCCTAAAAACTAAGACCAAAAAGAAAAATTTCTCAAAGATGAATGTGGAGAAAACACCGCAGTGCAACGAACATCATACTCAACCACATTGTGACATAAACACAGTGAGCAAATCCATAGAGTACTGCTTATGGGCTTCCTCAACGTAATCAGAGGAACCTCAGCCAACACAATTCCATAAAATCAATTATGTTAGGGGATTAACACAATGTGTTCCACGTAAACTGCTCTCAGATCAACTAGTTTAATCTAGAGTGAGATTTTGGGTTTTACCTAACCCTGAATTTGCAAGATTTCATATCCTTCAAGAAATCTTTAATCAACAGTGTTTTCTCAGTTAAGCTTCTGATTTATATTGGGTGATTACGAGCTCAATATTATATGCTCTGAAAATACTTATAGCTATACTATGCTGCCATTTTTATGCAAAGCTGTTTGCTTTAATAAACAGTCAAAATGAGAGTACGTTTGACATTCAAAGAAAAAATTGAAAATCTAGTAAGATTAGAAGACAAGAATCAAAATGTTGTTCCTTCGTAAATTTTTCTGAAAGAGAGAGAGAAGGAGAGAGAGACAAAGAGTTATTGGGGGCAGGGGGAAGAAAGGAGGGAGAAAAGGAGAGAGAGAGAAACATATTGTTATTGGACCTCTAATGTTTTCTGTGTTGTGCAAAATTTACTCAAGCAGTTGGGTAGAAGGGCCAGGAAAGGGAATGGATATTTACTGAGTGCCTTCTAAGCATTCTTTCTAAATATTTATTTGGTATCTGTTTATAAGATGTCAGGTTTGGAGACATTAACAGAAAAAAAATGTTTACAGGTTGTTACATCTGAGCACCCAAATATCTGAATGCTTGGCTGAGGCCACTTTAAATGAAAGTTCTGGCCCTAAATTAAAAGTTGCTGATGATAGAAACATTCTACTGCAGAGGAATTAATGGAAATAGCTACACTTAGTGGAAATTTAGTTTTTGCAATTTTTGCTGATGGCAGCAGTACCTAACAGAACATAGAATAGGTGAATCTCAAATCGAGGAAAGACAACAGTGCCTCTGCATAGTGACTCGCTGAGAGTTAATATGACAGGACTTTTAGCTTCACTGCTTGCTAACTAGATTTTCTTTTGCTTTTTACTTAGACAAAGGAGAGAAAGAAAGGGCCAATTTACAGGGGAATGAGTCCTTAAGGTATTGGGAAGAGTAGTTATAAAGGCAAATTAACTAAAGCTAGCAGGCGAATGAACCAAACTTTCCAGTTATTGTTCTTATCTCATTCAGGTAGAAAAGTACCTGAATGTCAATGTTTCTTGAAAAAGACCATCAACTGTTGCTATAATAGACTAAAAATAACTTGGTATAAATTCTTGGTTAAATCAAATAACATCTTACATTATATTCTACTATAGGTAAGTAGAAGATAAAATGAAATATTTTTTAAATAGAAGAAAACATTTACTATCAAGAGAATTTTTCTTTTTGTACATTGGGAATCATTTGCTGCCACCAGACGTAATCTTGAAGAGAAACTAAAAACTGAGCAGGTTTTCAGGACTAAGAAAGGTTAACAGAAAGCTCTCTGTGGTTCAAGTAAAATGATTAAATTGATTGGGAAGAAGACAACCAAGTTACTTTTTTTAAGTGTACCTATTCAATGTTACATTTATATTAAACTCTCTTCTTTCTTATTATACAAGTTGCATCGCTCTTCTTAGCTTTGTGTCAACTAATGTACTGAGGGATTTAAAGAGTCCTATGTTTGAGAGCAATGATTTACTGATACCTTAGATTTCTATAGATATCCTTAGTAATTTAGACAGATTAGGTAAGAGACTAGTCAGTTATTATCGTAAATTTCTACAGGAAAAATAGGCCTGGGAGGTATAGCTGGTAAGCCAGAAGATACTGGTGGCTCACCATGTTGTTTGTTTCCAAACCCACTGGATTGTTTTTTCTATGTTATCATGCTGTCATATATCTTATGATTCATTAATATGTAGAGATTGAATGGAAAGTTTTTTCCTAAAAGTGAAAGGATTTCTTTTTTTAATTAAAATTTTTTCTTTTACTTTTTAAAATTTTATTGGAATAAGAACACTTAACAAACCATTCTAATTAGTCATGGTAACTCCTGAAATACAAGAGATTTTCCAGCCCCCGTCGGACATAGAGATTCAATTCCTCTCTAATCCAGGGAAGCAGATGTCTTGCAAACTAGCACAGCAACATGTGCTATTCATAACGTATCAATTAAAGATATACAAATAATTTCAGAGGAAAAAGGAAAATGCTACCATAGTCAAAGTAGATATTGACACACAAAGATATATATCTCCAATATGGAAAAAAATGTGACTTGGAATCAGTTGCATATTGCTGTTTCTTTACATTTCAGTCATTTCCTGTTTTTTTCCTATTTCCAGGGGATTGATTTGTTGAATAAGAAGGGACAGATACTTCCCAATATTAGAGGAGTTTTGTTTCACACGAGAGTAATAGAGGAAGAGGCAGTGAGGTTGACATCCCGGGAGATAGAAAATGGAGGCAGAAGGTCGCCTGTAGGCAGGATGAGGATAGGAGATGATTGACATAGGCCATGTACAGGAATTGGATGGAAGCAGGATTTTGGAAAGCTTTAAGTGTAGTGAGAGCAACTCATATTGTCTATGACAGACAGAAGTACTCAGTTGATTATAACAAGAGTAAAACTGTCAAAGTGATGCCAAAAAAGGGAGGAAACATTTTTTTTTAATTAAAAATCTCGCTGAGTTTGAAGTAGAGAACAAAAATTTTTCAACTGTCTACACTGTCAGCCCTCTATGCATGTGAAAATGTATTTATTATTTTCTAAATTAACTTAATGAGTTCCAGATTGTACAGGATGTCATAATGAAAACAGGATTATACAAGATAATAAGGAGTTTTTCCTCTAAATGAGTTTTACCTAGACTCCCTGTGTCGTGCTTTTGATCTTCACTGTGTTTCATTTACCACATTGAAGGAAGTTACACAAAGGATAAAATAATAGAAACTTAATCTGGAAACAGGTTTCCTCATTGCTGCATTTTAATATATTCGCTTTAGCCTAATTCTTGAAAATAATAAAAGATGTGTCATTTTAAAATAAGGACAATGGAAACCACATTACATTATAATTGTGCATCTTTCCTCAGAGCCATCCCAAATATTTCACACCAATTTATCTTCAGAACAAACTTGTGGATTTTTTAGGGATTATTGATGGGGAGTATAAACTTCCTGAATTCTACTTGTATTCTGTAAAATACCAGATAAATATTATTGGCTAGTGAATTTAATTTTACAGATGAGAAAGAAACACAAAGAGGCAAAATAATTTCTCAGAAACAGATTCTTGTTTCCAAAAGTGCTGTAGAGTAAGTATGACTATTGTACTAATAGCCCAATATGAGCTGGCCCCATTCGTCACAGCATAGAGTTTTATGGTGAAAATAATTTCTTGGTGCCCATTATCATGGCGTATAAAGGTGTATAACTATACTCCACACATGACTGATTTTGTTAATGTAATGCTTTTTTCTGGTAGACAAATCTCTGCATATGCTTTACATAACCCATACAAAAATAGTCTATTTAGGTAGGCACTTGGGTTTTGAAACCTTACATCCATGACTTTGCTGTCATCCTCAATCAATTTGGAAAAACTTCCAACTTGGCAACCAATTTATCTCTTGAATTGCCAAATAAATACTTTGGAAAGTTAGGTTTGCTTGTCTAACATTTTCTCATTTTATTTCCTCTTCACTGGCCAGATAATCACCATGGCCACAGTCTTGAAGAAAGAATCATCTATGGAGTAGAAAATAGTAGCACATTCCTGGAATGCAGTCCAAAATCGCAGCGAGCTCTGGTCTATTGGCAATTCCAGAGGCGAAATGAAGAGCAGAAAGAAGAGGTATAGGGATGAAATTGACTGGCTTATTTCTATCTAACATATACTGTTAAATGACCCCAGCATGGTTGACCTGAGGTGGGGGGAAAGTACTGTGAATCTTTATCCTTTTCTTAACCCATCAATAGCTCATTCATTAAACAAGCATTCACTGAAGGTTGATTACATGGCAGGTTTTGTGCTAGGATTTGAAGAAACAAAGGTGAACTGGTAAGAGTTTTATCCCAGAAGCAATTTGGGGATATACTTTAGAGTCTTCTTTTCTTCCTGTAGTTATCTTCAAAGCAATTATGTTATCTATATTTGTGTACAAAAAGAAATAAAATAAAATCCTCCTACTAATTTTAACTTTTGTTCAATTAATTCTGCTATCCAAAGGTACTTTCCTTTCTCCATTAGCTTCCTCTTCAAATGGGGAGGGGAAATTTGAGGAAGGGAATAGTAGATTTTGGGTGAAGGATCTGAGGCCCCAGTATGAAGTCTGATACGAACTATATATGTTGCACCAGACAGAGCTTCCTCCTCACTGGATCCCTTTATTTATCTGTAAAATTAAAGAATTATACACAGAAAATCTCAGTGAGTACTCTGGGTCTTTAAAGCTTTTTAAAAGCATTAAATAAGAATAACCGAACTATGTAGATGATTCGTAAATGTATTATGTGCAGACATTGTGTATTTTACAAACATAATCTGAATATAAAGGTAAAAATCCTCCCATTATCTTTTTTGACATTTGAAGAAGGCTTTAAACATGTGATCACATCATACAAATGTCAAGGCTGATTTTATATATTACCAGCTTAGGCTTTCAGAGATCTCTGTTATAAGCTGTTTTCAAAATAAAACTGAAGTTAGATATACTCAGGAGCATATATTCATATTTATGTCACATCTAAAACCTAGGTAATTTAATATTTAATTATTAAACATGTAATCCCATGCTTTTTTCTGCTTGCTCAACTGCTGATTTTTTAATTTTATTTTTTAAATCTTATTATAAATTTATTCTAATGCTACATTGCTTTCTGGCATTATAGTTCTGCCTTTCCAATTCCTATATTTAATGTTAACTTTCTCCTATATTTATATACCTTCTTTAAAATCTATAAAATAAAGTATATCATTGTCCTTTCTTCCCATTATCTTGAGTATTTTAAATTATTATAATGAGAAATTCAATTAAAACAGTAGACAATCAATATTTTGCAATGTATCTTAAAAATAATTGACAGAGATTTTCTTTTCCCTCATGGGAAATGCTATCATTTCTCTTCAGTTAGAAATTTTATTAACTGTTAAAATGTGCTTCAACACATAACATAGATTTTTACTGAGACAGAGTTTCAGAATTTATATTTCTTTTAAATATATATATTTTGTTACGATCTTTTTTCCTTCTGCTAGATCAGAGTAGATGATCACATCATCAGGACGGAACAAGGCCTTCTACTCCGTAGTCTACAGAGGAAGGATTCAGGCAATTACCTCTGTCATGCTGTGGAACACGGATTCATGCAAACTCTTCTTAAAGTCACCCTGGAAGTCATTGACACAGAACATTTGGAAGAACTTCTTCACAAAGATGATGATGGTGATGGCTCTAAGACCAAAGAAATATCCAACAGCATGACACCCAGCCAGAAGGTCTGGTACAGAGACTTCATGCAGCTTATCAACCACCCCAACCTGAACACAATGGATGAGTTCTGTGAACAAGTGTGGAAAAGGGACCGAAAACAACGACGGCAAAGGCCAGGACACACCCAAGGGAACAGCAACAAATGGAAGCACTTACAGGAAAATAAGAAGGGTAGAAACAGGAGGACCCACGAATTTGAGCGGGCACCCAGGAGTGTCTGAAGTGCATTACCTCTAGAAACCTCAAACAAGCAGAAACTTGCCTAGACAATAACTGGAAAAAATGCAATATACATGAACTTTTCTCATGGCATTACGGGGATGTTTACAATGGTGGGAAATGCAACTGAGTTCCACCAATTATAAATTAAGTCCATGAGTAACTTTCCTAACAGGCTTTCCTCCTAATTCCAACATCTAATAGAGGTCAGGTGAACACAGATGTTCACTTTAGCAGACTCAATGTTTCCTACGAGATTTCATTGTAGAGGTTTCACTTTCTTCTTTGCCTGAGAAATAAAAATGTCATTTGCCATATTGCCATCTAAAGAAGAAAAACTGCATTAGTAAAGCCATTTTATTGAACTAAAAGTTTAAAATAAACTGCATGGATTTACTAAGCTGATGAATATTGCAAAATGTGGTTGGATTCAAGGATATTTTTTGTCTACCAGCACTCATGTTTATATGTACTAGAGGAGTAAAACGATACTAAATGAAATGGTCTGTGGAAACATAAAAAAACATAAACCATTCATCCTCTTGAAGAAAAATGGACTACACTGATCTACTACTGATGTCTTCTTTCAGCTTTGACCTAAAGATGTATTTTATTAAAACTATAATTTAAATGTACCATGACAAATATGCAGTAAAGTTTAGCTTTTTTCTAAGCTAGAGTAGGTCTTTGTCTTACAATTATTGTGCTATATAGTTTTTGTTTAAAAAACCCCAGTTGTGTGCTGCTTTTTTTTGACATTTTGTCTTCAGTTCTGAGAGGGATAGCCAGTATTGTCCTAGAAACATATATACATTATTAACAATTAATTCCTAAAACCTGGATATAAATTATGCTTTATTTCTCTGAGGAATTCAAACAAATAACACCTCCCCTTGTTTAAGCATTATCTAACTTAATTTTAACCTGCATAATGTCCTTAGAAAAACAGAGCATTTAGCTAGCAAAAAAGGGAAGAAACAAATTGATTTGTTAAATGCATTTTTTTGTACCTAGTAGATTAATGAAGAAAAAAGGAACTGCATATTTCATGAAAATAATAAGAATTATCTTAATATAATGTTAATAGAAAATGTCTCTTAATTCTGTGCTTGAATCTCTGCATGATATTTGAGACATAAAAACTCTCTCATGATTCCATTAGGAATCTGTGCCACTTAATTTTTTTTGAAAAGACAGAGATCAGTAATATTCAGAACAGCTTAAAAGTAAATTTCCCAACTCTGTCTACATCTGTATCAGCTGCCTCTTATCTCACCATGTTTAAGACAATTATCTGTCTAAAGAACACGTGATTCTTTTCACATCAATGGGAATGACTTTTATACAAACTATTTTCCAGGATACAACCACACTCAAAGCATGTTAAACCCTTTGTCATGTCTCAAGGATGTATAAGACCTTCAGCCTTACAATATACTCTCTTTTGCACTGCACTCACCTTTCCCAGACTCCCTCCCTAGGGCCTTCATCATGCACAAAAATGCAAAGGAAACATCTCATTGCCAATTAATGAAAGTGACATTGAAATTCTAACTCTAGCTGTCTTGGGATTCTAATTAACTGAGCATTAATTTCTCACCTCAGACTACAGTGAATTTTTTAAAAATTCTCTATCAGCTGAAATATTTCACAGATGGAAGCTCATGTTTCAGTTTTAATCATTACTTTGAATAAGCAATTTGTTGATGCTTGTTTCAAATGAAAGTCTAAAAATATTCTACATTCAATTTTAGGCTCCATTGATTAATACAGTGTTACTTTTGGAAGTACATCGAAGTACATCCTCAAATGGTAGCTGAATTTTAAATTATTTGAAGGACACACTCCCTGTAGAGAAAAAAAAAAGTGTTTGAAATATAAATCAACGAACAAACAGTGCTCCAAAAAATAGGTCATTCTTTTATTTTCATAGAGTTTCTTAACTGTACTAAAATTCAGTGTTGCGTTTCATTCTAAATTTGCAGCTACATCAGATTTATTTGCAATAATAGAAGTATCTTATAAGTCCTTAAAAATAAAGGATTTGAAGGGATAGAGGTTCTATGATAACTTTGGGAGGCCTTCCAATGGCTGAATGCATTTTGTTTAGCATTGTAAAATATCCATAGAAAGAAATTCTAGACTTCAATTAGAAGAAACAAAAACAAACAAATTTACTGTCATGTCTCTATAAACCATCAAATCTATGTTTTCAAAGAAAATTATAGATTTAACTTGCAGGTAAATAACTCATTGCAGTCATAATCTTCTGCCAATGTGTATTGAGAGGGGGCAGTTTGCACAAAAAATAATCGAAATCTCATTTAATTTAGTTTTAATAGGCTTTGGTATATGCATGTATTATCAGAGTTGAAACTTTGTTAAGAGACTCACGTGACCTTAAGCAAATGATGACAGCAGTCTTAAGGTAGGAAAAAGGTACATTGCAGCGGAGAAATTATGGCCCAGTTGAAATCAAACAAAAAATGTAAATGCATGTAAATGCACACTTAATGCTCCTCTTTATGTATTACTTAGTGACTTTTAATATGTGTTTAATATTTTTGCTACCTACACATTAGGCAAAAGAGATGTAAATAATTTTGAAAAGAAGAGGAAGAACAGTATAAAATGCAACTTTTTATAGGTACTCAATTTCAATGTGTTCAACATCATCCTAAAATGCAAGATTTTCCCACACAGGTAACAAACTGGTTTATGTGCTATTTAAGGGCAGAAGGTGTGTGCCCATTCAATACGCATGTTTTTTGCCAGGTAGTAAATATGTTCCATATCTGTATTTATCATTGCATTTCAGATGGGAACTAGAAAACTGGAGAGAAAAATGTAATGAAATTGCTGCTGTAAATTATTCCTTTTAGCATGTATTCAGTTGCTAAATACACATTTCTTCAAAAGATTTGAATTCAGATGTCTTTACTGTTCCCCATAGCATATGGTGTCAAGGAACATAAGTTTAGAAAATGTTGAGAACCAGAGCCAGGTTGCTACATAATCAGCTAGCAGATTTCTTCATTGTAGTCATCTGTAAACTGGGTTCTATTATGGTGACGATGTGAATTTTTATGCCCTTTAATTTAAATATTGTTACATTTATGTCATACCTAAAAAAGAAATATGGGGATGAAATCCTATAATGTGTCATTATGATAATCAGTTTGGTTTCATTCAAGATCTACAAAGATACCCAATAATTGTTATTGAAATTGCCTATCCTGAAGGTCATAAGCAAGCATTTTATTAATATGGAGTGATTAGTATAACATTTTGAAATCTTTGGTTTATGAATTCATTTTTTAAACACAATTTGCATTCATTTTAATGGAAATCTATCAAGTTTCATGGTTTCAAAGACACACTTAACAAATAGAATTCAATGTCATCTTATTGTGTTATAGTGTGTTAGCTATAAATTGGCCTTATGCCAGAGACATCCATTCTTTTTATTTTCACTTTGTTTGTAATAGTTATTTAAAGTCGGTGAATGTTTGCAAAATGCACGTTTCCATAAAGAAGAAAACATTATTTTTCAAAAAATCTGCAAAATGCTATTAGTTTATTTGATTTCTAACAATTTTCTTATTCTAGTTAATTAAAGACACATACCTCTTTTAAGTTAATATAATAAGAGGACCTGTAAATGAAAGAGAATGAAGTCACAGAAATGGTGCCTCATATAGTATGGTCATTTTCAGTCAACCTGACCAAAGAAACACATTGGTTTTTGTTTCAAATACGCAAGCACACACAGGCACAGGTACCGAATTAAACCAAACCAAACAAAAAGACGATTTTGAATATAAAGAAATTGAGCTTCTAGACACTTTATCTTTTACAACCAGATTCTTATCCATTCAATTAAATTCCAGTGATAGATTTTGTCTGTGTACTATGTAATAGGCACTGGTAAGTGATGAGGATATTCAGATGAGTGAGACATAACCCCTATCCTCAAGAGTTCACAATGAAATAAAGAAAACAAAATGGCCTTACATCATCTTCTCTGGCAAGTCTTTCTTGATCCTCGCATCCCTAGGTTAGGCTAACCACCTTGTCTGTACTAAATTTGTGCTTTCTATATACATTTTATTGCCACACTTATCACGAAGTATAATTTCTTTGTTTACATTCCCATCTCCCTTTCTAGACTGTGAGCTCCTTGAGGACAGGATCTAATTCATCTCTGCCCTCAGTGCTTCACATGACACCTGGTATAGGAAATACCAATATACATAAGTCATTGTTGGAAAGAACCAGGTTACAATGTGACAACTGCCAAATGCAAGCTCATAATAAAAGTGCTATGGGATCAGAGAGTAGGAAGTATTTAAATTGTGGAAAGGGATCACGGAAATGTTCAGAAAACAATACAGGCTGTGAATTGAAATATAAGTCAGATTTTCCCAGGTGAAGTAAAATGAAGGGCCATCTAGGCAGAAGACATAAGGAGAATGGAAGATAGGGTGAAAAATACTTTTATTCTGGGAAAAAGTATTCTCTGTGCTTGTACGAGCCCAGGCTTCACAAAGAAGAGTAAAATGTCCCATTACTATGAGTCAAGATGTTACATTTGTTTGGTTCTTCTTGGATTTTGATTTATTGCCCTCTATTAGTATTCACATTCTCATCACTGGCACATGGTGGCATTCACTCTGCTTCCTTCCATCCCTTGACCTCTTTGCTCTCCCTCCCTCCTTTCTCTCTGAGTGTTGACCACTTTTATCTTTACTCAGCTGGAGTCATAGCACTGGGCAGTGTCCTCACAATTATCTTCAAACTAATCTTTATGCCATAATCTCTTCTCCAGTTCAACCTGTCGTGCTTCAGCTGGGATTTGGAGACTAATGGCTGGGAGAAAATAGCTTTACCAGGTTGACCCCTCTGTGCTGCAACACAGTTCAGATGAAGTTTCTCTTATATTTCACCTGCCTTCAGGATTACCTCCCTCATCTAGTATTAGATGACGTGGCCACAGGTTCCAACATCGCCTTGCTAATTAGCAAGGTGACTCACAAACAAGACTTCATGAAAGATATCATTAAGATATGAAGCCCGTATTTGTTCAGTGGATACCCTAGATGGGGTACTTCAGGGCTAAACAATGATGCAGGTCAAGTTAACACAGATAGTTGACAGGCAAAGTCTCCTATTTTTTTTCTTTAAACAAAAGAAAAAGTTTTAAAAAATGAGGAGGCCTAGCTGCATCTTGAATCTGTCAACTCCACACCACCACTATATTAAACTGTCAAGTTTTTTCTCTTGTAACAAAAGAATGTATTTTATGTCTCTTAATGTAAACATTATACTTGTAGACACACTATTTATTTATATGGTACCTAAGCAAAAGTTTTCATAAATGTGTTCAAGTCATCACAATTTGGGTAAATTTTAAGTCTCAACTTCCATGCTTTCTTTGTAAATCTCACTGAAGCATTAGCCTTCAAGTAAATCACGTTTTTAAATTCATGTCAGTTGTGTAACGCAGTTCTTAATGTTTTCATTGTTTTATTGATAACTAATTCTAGAGACACTTAAATGCTTTCAGATCAAATTTTGTGTCTAAAGATCAAACAGCTTGTCTACTTTAGGATTTTGTAATACGTATCACATTTTAGGGTGTCTGCATCCCTGAATTTCAAAAAAAGAATGACAGTTTCATTAGTTCTGAAATATTCTTATTTTTTCATGCAATGTTTTAAATTGCTGATAAATGTCAGCACATTAGTATAGGTCTCTATACACCATTCAATAAATTCTGCTTGAATTTAGATAATGACTAAAAATGGCACATCTATGTTTCAAATTTGCATTGTTGACATCTACCAATCTCAGGAACATTGCTTATTTTCTTCTTTGCAATACTTTGACCCTAATAGCATGTTTGTTGAAAGTAACTTTACTGTATTTGGTTTAGCAAGCAGGTTAATTATACAGCATCAGAAATAAAATCTGGCATCCATATGGAAAAGTACACTATCAAAGAGTATATTGAATTCTTACGCTTATGAAATATATTCACTCACGAAAGCATAAGTAAATACTCTAAGATTATTATATTTTGGCCAAAACAATAGTCTACTCATTAATTTTAGAAACATGCCATTGTTAAAGTTTATCCTTTAAATTCTTAACTTCTCTGGAATTTAAAAAGCAAACAACAAGTACCTGGGATTACAAAATCCCTAATCATTCAAAAACTAACATATCCTGTTCCCCCTAGTGAAGATTGGAATATAATTTGCAATTGTTTCCATACTGGCCTCTTTCTAAACTCCTCTTTGTCATTAGACAGTGTTTATTAAAATTATGTCCTACCAGGTAGCTCTATATTCATTATTGAGAAGTAATACTGTTGAACTTGTTCAAAGGAAATGTTTATACATTTTCATAAAATCATCTGATTGATAACAGTACATATTAAACCTCAGAGCAGAAACCCTTTATAGTATATCGCATTGCATTACATTATGATTTAACATTATAATGGTAAATAAAGTCAACATAATCAGAAGTGCAGAAGCACTAATAAACCTGTACTAAAGTCACTGTTTGGTGATAGCAGTACTACATTTTTCTACCACTTTGTAATGTTCAAGGTATTTTCATGATCTCATTTGATCTTCTTTATCTGAGTAGGGCATTTTTTTAATCCCAACTTTGTAGGAGAAAAAAGTAATAAATGGCTGGTCTTAGATCTGCATTCAGCAAATTTTAAACCCCAGTTTGCAATTTTGTTATTTAATCCAATTTGAGCACAACCTTTTTATTATCATATTGCATCATATGGTGAAAATAAGTAATCTATTAATGTTTCAATAAACTGCCATTGCAATAAGCATTATTTTAGTTTAGATCATCTAAAAACAATATACATTCAAGGAAGCAATTTATTTACTTGGGCACTCAATTAGCATAAGATATTAATATGGAAGATGAATGAACCAATGAAAATCAGTAAATTCTTCAGTTATAAAACACTTGGAGTGATGTCGACAACTCATTTTCTCTAACAAAAAATTTGGTTTCTTCATGCATCCTTCTTAAACTGCTAAAATGAGGCCCCTTTCCCAAAAAAAGAATATTTGAATTGATACAAAATGAGTTTTCTTCACATATTTGATTATGTGACCATAATAAGAAAAAATATTTTTGGAATCATATATGCATTTGTAAAGTCTGTTCTTATAAATGAAAATAATTTTGTTAGAAAATACCTCAATTTTTAATAACAATTTGAAATGAATACTTTTGTGAGAAACAATATCCTTACACAATAATTTAACATATCAGGGACAACATCCCACAAGCAAACTTCAAAAATTTTTAGCATTTTAATAAAAATATATAGCTAGATCAACTTTGTATATACTTTTCATTGAATTGCTACTTCCTAGTGTATAACAATATCATTAACAATTGACAATTTCATTCAAAAGAATGAAACTGGACTATCTTGCATAATACACAAAAATTAACTCAAAATAGATTAAGACTTGAATATAAGACCTGAGACCATAAAATTCCTAGAAGAAAACATATGCAATAAGTTCCTTGAAGTAGGCATTGGCAATGATTTTTTGAATCTGACACCAAAAGCAAAAGCAACAAAAACAAAAATAAACAAGTGGGACTACAGCAAACTAAAAAGCTTCTGCATAGCAAGGGAAACCATCAACAAAGTGGAAAGGAAACCTACAGAATGCGAAAAAATATTTGGAAATCATGTATCTGATAAGGGCTAATATCCAAAATATACAAAGAACTCATATACCTCAATAGCAAAAGAACTAATCTGATTTAAAAATGGGAGAAGATCTGATTAGACAATTTTCTAAAGAAGACATACAGATGGCCAACAGGTACATGAAAAGATGCTTTACATCATTAATCATGAGGGAAATGCAAATCAAAACAACAGTGACTGAGGCCGGCCCATGCCATAGTAGTTAAGTCTGTGCACTTTGCTTTGGTGGCCCAGGGTTTGAGGGTTCAGATCCCAGAGGCTGACCTACACACTGCTCATCAAGCCATGCTGTGGCAGCATCTCATATACAAAATAGAGGAAGATTGGCACAGATGTTAGCTCAGGGACAATCTTCCTCAGCAAAACAACAACAACAACAAAACACCACAATGAGTTATCATCTCACACCTGTTAGAATGGCTATTATCAAAAAGACTAGAAATAACAAGTGTTGGTGAGGATATGGAGAAAGGGAATGGTTGTACACTGTTGGTAGGAATGTAAATTGGTGCAGCCACTATAGAAACTGTATGGAGGGTTCTCAAAAAATTAAAAATAGAACTACCATATTATCTAGCAATTCCACTTCTGGGTATTTACCTGGGGAAAACAAAAACACTAACTTGAAAAGATCTATGTACCCCCAAGTTCGCTGCAGCATTATTTACAATAGCCAAGATATAGAAACAACATAAGTGTCCATTGATGGATGAATGGATGAAGAAATTGTGGTGTATACATGTATATTCCATTGTGTGTGTGTGTGTGTGTATATATATATATATATATATACACAAAATACGCTATTGTATGATTGAACAATGGAAGGTTATTTAGCCATAAAAAAGAATAAGCTGTTGCCATTTGTGATAACATGGATGGATCTTGAGGGCACTATGCCAAATAAAACAAATGAGACAAAGACAGACAAATATCATACGATCTCTCTTATATGTGGAATCTAAAACAAATTGTAAATTAAGAAAAACTAGGCTCATAAATACAGAAAACAGATTGATGGTTGACAGAGGCAAGGGAGGGATGGGAGTAGGAGAAACAAGTGAACTGTGTTTTTTTTTTTTTTAGTTTAAATAAATTGATTTAAAAATATGTATATAACAATTAATACCTTATGTCAATAAATGCCAGAAGAAATCCTATATAGATTCTCATTCTTCAATAGTAGTAACTATAATTGTCCCATGTATATATATTCAACTCAAATACACATAATTTTTAAATAAACTATGTTTTTACTTGGTGCATATATCTAGGTAATTTAACTTAAAAACATCAAATTAAAGGTGTATAAGAGAAAATTGCAGAAATTCTAAATTTTATGGATGAAATTTTGTTGAAATTCTAGGTCATTTATTCTGCCACTTGGTTTTAAACTTCCCCAGTCCCACCAATTAGGAGACCAGTCCTTGGTCTGTGGACTATTCCAGTGGAAGTGAACCGTAGGAAGCACAACTTCCTTTAGAAGTGCACACCAACATCTGGTTAACTTCCAATTTAAAATGGCATCCTAAGAAATCAGCTTTGTTCTTAGTTTTCATTAGCGTATCTGAAAGATTTTAAAGATTATTTCAAAATCCAAGATTTAATATGAAACATAGATTAGGATTAGCAATGTCATGTTGATGTCTCTTTCATTTCCAGTTATATTATTTTGTCACTTCTGCTATACCATATGGTAGTCAACTGTGTGATATTTGATTAGCATATTTTGAAAACTAGGTCAACTCATTAATGTTCTAAAAAATATTTCCATATTATTATGAGCTTATGTTCTCTGGAAGAATAGCCTCTAGTGAAGAAAAGCATTCTTATTGCCCTCTACTGCCACTTCTAAAACTTTCTGCTGAAATCATAAACAAAACAAAACAAAAAAAACCAAACCAAAAAAACTCTTGTGTTTTGAATATTTTGCCATCTTCTCACTATTCCTTTCTTATCCTTTTAAAACGATGTACTAATTTCCACAATTCTCTTACACTTTCTACAGTGTCTGAAACATCTTTCCTTCCAGTTAGCAATCCATCTTGCAAAATTCAGTATCCTCATCAATAACCCATCTAACATCTGATCCCACAGTTAATTGACCTATTTCTCCAAACCACTTTCAGTCATCAATGAGAGATAAGGAAAGTTTTAATAGCCTGTAGAAATAAAGTTTCAAGGATAAGAAACACCATCTCAGGCCAGATGGAGGAAAAGAGAGCACAGCTTCAAGGACGTGAGCATCTAGGCCTCAGACCATTTATGCTGCATGTGTTGAGTACCTCCTAAGTACCAGGAACAACATTCTGTACTTGGGTTTCAAAGATGACTAAGAATTAGTCTCCGATTTTGAGAATTTTACAGTCTATTGAAGAGAGAAAAACACAATAGGCAACATGTCAAATGTCATAAACCAAGTCTAACCATAGCAACAGTAGTAGTCATCAGAGCTGTAGTAGTAACGGAAGAAGTAATAAGTGTTTACAACAGACTGTTTTCTTTACTAAGTGCTTTCTTTGTATTTTTATATTTGACCAATACAACAGCCTGAAAAACCCTATTTTTATCCTGATTTAATCAATAAGGAAACTCAGGTACAGAATGGTTAAGTAACTAATTACCCAATTCACCAAACCAAAAGTGGTAGAAATAAAGTTTTAACCCAAATGTAATTAATGATTACTTGTGTTGCTAGAAAGATAAGTAGTCATGGTAAATATTATTTAAGGGAGCATGCTGTGTGGAAAGAGAGTGAAAGTATGTCAAAAAGTCTTACAAGACAGACAGAATGGAGTCTATTTCTTAAGAGAGGATAGACAATCAAGTGGCTTTGGAGGCGAGCAAACCTGTTTAATTGTCAGCTCTACCCTCTTAAATAGTGCATGTCTTTGGGCAATTTTTTTCCTTTTTATTTCCCTGGGCCTCAGTCCTACCATTTATAAAATAAATAACACCTCAGTTCTTTCATCTGTATGAGAGAGATGATAGAGAATTTATTCATAGAATTGGTGTGATAATGTT